CTTTCTTTCTTTCTTTCTTTCTTTCTTTCTTTCTTTCTTTCTTTCTTGTTGTAGTGACCAGGGAAGTGTGCTATTGATCTTATAATAGAAATAATGACTTCAACCAGGTTTTCTAAGAAAATTAATGACTGCCTGAAGTTAATGGCCTTCAGTCAATCTGCCAGTCAGCCATTAATCCTCAGGAAATGCCCTGGGCCTTGATCATTATTGCGTAAATAATACAAAAGTGGGTAGAGTTCTCTTGTCAGATGGGAAACATACATTGCCCTTGTTCTTTATGACAACAAGAAAAACACATTAGAGTGGGAAAAAAACCCATAAGAACTTTGCTACTAATGCAAATAAATAGTCTTGTTTAAACAAAAATTATTAAGCAAAATATTAAACTTGAACTCTGTATGTTTGAGTAAGGAATAATGGTAGACTTCTAGATGGCTATAGTTAGAGTTAGGAGGGAAGTAAAATGCGGAGCCAAATATCGAATGAATACAATGCAATTACTGTCATATTAGATATTTCAAATTAAAATCAGGGTTAAATAAACACAGAATTGACTACTTTAATGGCTACAAACAAAAGATAGTCCTAAAATTTACCTTTAAAATTAGGACCTTATAGACCAACAAAGTAACTGCAATTTAAAAGATTTCAAATAAATATTATGATGAATAGGGATATTTTTCTTATCTTGGGATATCAAAGGATTTTTATAGTCCTTTTCATGGGTTATTTTGCAGACTGAGATCTTCAAGAAGGCAAATAGTGAAATGAAAAACACGTGGGGGAAATTAGTACCGTGGTTGCCCTCAACTGCCAAAGTGGCGCTCCTAAGCTTGGAACAAAATTGGAGTTCTTAGCTTTAAGTAGAGATACACTTGCTGTGTATCATCCCAAGTCATGAGTTCAAATGTGGAGCATCACCATGAGTAAATCCTCCATAAGCACTCACCAAACAGGAACTGCTCATTCACCCCACATGCTCTTCATGTATCTGGGAGATAAGATTTCATATTGGATGTATGTTGTGTTTCTTCTTTATTTTTCGGTTGTTTTTACACATAAAAGATTTCCATTTCTTGTCTCTAGAATTGGAATTTTTAGGAGGTCTTGAAGATATCCATTGATAAAAGCATTCATTCACGTTTTGTTCTACAAGTGCCACACATTTAATTTTTCTATTTCTTGCAGATCTGCATTTTCTTTTTGAATTCTCAAGAATTCAACCACATCATGATTGGGCTTAATCAGGGTGTGTGGTGGGAAGTGTGGGCTCCAGTTTTATCTTTTCCTAAATGACTCCAGTCATTACAATACTATTTACTAAGGAGCCCATCTTGTCTTCATAGATACGTGGTGCCACCTCAATTACATTCTACATTTCCACACACACATGGATCTATTTACATACTTTTTATTGGTGTGTATGTGTGTTTGTGTGTGTGTGTGTCTGTGTGTTTATTCATGTGGCATGCTTTGGTGTGCAGTAAATGCTCGATTGCCTTCCTCTTCTACACAAGGAGCTTTTCATGACAAGCAGTGGTATAGTTACTGACAAGCAATCCAGTTTGATTATAAATCATAACTAAAATTTTATTTTGAGTCACCACAGGAATAAAATGAAAATGGTATTTTAAAAATAAACAAGTTACTTGTTAGGTAATTTTATGCATTTTTCCTATGCAGATTTCTCTCTAGATCCAGAAAAACCTTTTATTTGTGTGTACTTTTGGAGAATCAAGTATATTTTGTTTATCTGAGAGAATGTCTGCCATTCCATTTGCTGTATTTTGTTTTGAAATGCACCTCATAAAAGCTTAATCCCTTGCTAGTTCTACTCTTACCCTTTAAAAATTTTTTTTGATGATAGTGTTTTCTAATGAGTGGCATTTAAAAATAATTTTATATCTTACTTACTGAATTACTTTATAATTACTCATTAGTTTAGATATTCTAAATAAAGTATTTTTAGTTATTTTTAAAAACTTTTTATTGGTTCTTTGTTAATTTCACATCATGCACCCCAATTCTACTCATTTCCCCCTCTCCTCTTAAACACCCTCCACCCTTGCAACCTCCCCCCAACAGGGAAAAGAAATCTCATTGTGGAAGCTGTAGTGTGTCACAGTGTGTCCCACAGTATACCCTCTTGCTCACACTTCACTTGCAAATGTTCATTGTAATGACTCACTGGTCTGGTATGACACCTCTGGTTTCCGGGACTCTATCTATACTGGAACCGCACTGGAACTCCTCTTGGATATCCTGTTGTTGATCTGCGTAATGGAGATCCTGTAGTTGTGTAGAACCAGCCCCTTCATGCACCCTGGCAGTTCATGGATGCGCTGGATGTTGGCGTGGGATAATTCAAAGCCCTGGATCTGGGCCTGAGAGGTATCTGAGCTGGTCATACCACTGGCTCTCCTGCTCTTATTAAACCCTCGGAATCAGCGCACCAGCAGTCCCCACCATAAGGGCCAGCTCCACCCTGCTGCCCAGCCACGGTGCAGGGCACCATCTCCTGAACGTTGCAGCCACTGAGGGTCAGTTCTCCCACTCTCACGACCCTGGGGCCAGCTCTACTGCCTGCCTTAGATGTCTAGGGACGAGGGAAGGTAGAAGGTGTCTCTCCCTCCTCTGTGTCACTGCCCAGCAGACAAGAGGCAGGTCAAGCCCCCACATTCAGGTCCAGCTCCACTGTGCTGCTGAGGTGAGGTGCAGTGTCTCTTCTCCTTCTCTCAGACCCACAAGGGGCCAGCTCTCCAGCCTGCCGCTGATGTTGAGGACAAAAGGGGGGGAAGAGGGGGACCTTTCACCAGCACCACCACATAGCAGTCAAGAGGCATCCTGCGAGCTGCGCATCTAGGGACAGCTCTGCTGCCATGCTGAGGTGGGGTACAGGGCCTGCTTTCCTGAGTGCTGCAGCTGGTGAGGGGCAGGGACATCTCTCCTTCTCTCATGACCCCAGGACTAGGTCGCCCACCTGCTGTAGGTGGTGAGGAGCAAGGCAATGTGGGGGGAGGAAAGAGGGGACTCTCTCCCTTGTCCGTGCCATCACCCAGTATGGAAGCCAGGGCTTCCATGCTTGTATCCCTGGGGACTGACTCATTTGGAACTCCTGGAACATGTGGGGCCTGCTCTCCCAAGTTCTGTAGATGGCTTTGGGCAGGGTCGGCACTCCTGCTCTCCCCCCCCCCCCCCCCCCGGCGTCAGGTCTCTCAAGATGACCAGGTGAAGAGAAGGGGTCAGTTCTGCACAGCACTCAGGTATCAACATGTCTCTGTAGTTACACCCACCGGGCCTTCGGTGGTAACAGACCCCTGCTACTGCAGGGCCATTGACCCGGATGTGGCCCCTAATGGCAGCACAGGCCAGGACTCCAACCTTGGCCCCCAGTGGCATCACTGGCTTCTCACATCAGGCTGCTCCTCACTGCCCTCGAGTCTGCAGTTCTGCCTCTCTTCATTGTACCCACATCCTTCTGTTTCTCTTTCTCTCCCATTTCTCCACCTCTTAACTCGCCCCTCTTGGTGGTTCCCCGGGGTCTCTGAGTATCTGGAGTCATGTCAGGAGTGTCTCAGTAATAGTTTGCCCTGCTCATGCATTAGGACACCAGGCAGGAATCCTCTCGGGCAGTGTCTCCCCTCCCCAACTCCACCCACACACCCACCTACTTCCTATCCAGGCCCCATGGTGCTGGTCATCTCAGAATCACCCCTTGCTTGACCCACATGAGAGACCTCATGTGAGGGTCGTCTGTTTTGGGCCCTCAGTCCCAGGCGGGGTTATTCTAGTTTCAGGCTCCGTGTCCTAGAAGCTGTTGGGACCTTCTCAGCACCAGACTAGTGGTGGTCTCAGGCTCACTTCTGTTTTTTTTAAAGGGGATGTTAGGTTATTAATCATCGAGGTGTTCACGGGTCAGAACACTGAGCATAGAGATAGCCCCTTTCCTCTCTGTCATCTACTGACACACATGTGACACAGCAGCCACACCTGCAATGCCTAGGACAGGGTATCTTTAGATTTTTAAAAATATAGTGCTTCTATTTATGGTGTGGTTCTGGAATACTATTCAAATACCTGTGTACTACTCAGCAATTAAAAACAAGGAAATCATGAAATTTGCAGGCAAATGGTGGGATTTAGAAAAGATCTCCTAAGTGAGGTATCCCAGAAGCAGAAAGACACACATGGTATATACTTACTTATATAAGTGTATATTAGACATATGGTATAGGATAAACATACTAAAATCTATACACCTAAAGAAGCTAAGCAAGAAGGAGGACCTTCTGTAAGATGATCAATCCTCATTCAGAAAGGCAAATGGGATGGACATCGGAAGAGGGAGAAAACAGGCAACAGGACAGGAGCCTACCACAGAGGGCCAATGGAAGACTCTACCCAGCAGTGTATCAAAGCAGATGCTGACTCATAGAGAAACTTACAGCAGAGTGCAGGGAATCTTATGAAAGAAGGGGAAGATAGAAAGACCTAGAGAGGACAGGAGCGCCACAAAAAGAGCAAGAGAACCAAGAAATCTGGGGCATAGGGGTCTTTTCTGAGACTGATATTCCAACCAAGGACCATACATGGAGATAACCTAGAACCTCTGCACAGATGCAGGCCATGGCAGCTCAGTATCCAAGTGGATTCCCTAGTAATGGGAACAGGGACTGTCTCTTACGTCCCTCAGGGGCTGGCTCTTTGATCACCTCCCCCTGAGGGGGGAGCAGCCTTATCAGACCACAGAGGAAGACAATGCATCCAGTCCTCATGAGACCTGATAGGTAGGATTGAGAGGGAATAAGGGAGAGGGGGGTACAGCTGGGATACAAAGTGAATAAATTGTAATTAATAAAAATACATTAATAATAAATGCCTGCGTGTTCCTAGCACAGCAGTATTAAGACATGAGTGGATTGTGACGACTCTACTCTTTAAACACGTGCATGCCTACATGAGTTTACATGCAGCTTGTGCACGCAGGTGCCCCCAGGGGCCAGCGCTCACTGGTTCTCCCCTGGGACTGGAGGCACAGGTTGCGAGCCACTCGATGTGAGTGCTGGGAACAGAACCTTGGTCTTTTTCAGGAATAGCAAGAACACTTAATCTCTGAGTCATCTCTCCAGTTCCAGGACCTTACTATTTTAACAGAGGGGTCTGCTGATGAACTTACAGTTAAATGAATTATTGGGAAGTGACAGCAGCTGTGGAAGGTGGGACACAGCTGGAGGAAGGTCACTGTAGGTGTTCTGCTAAGGGTATATTTTTAATTTGGTATCCCTGTCTCTCTCTCTGGAATCTGAATGGAAAAAACTTCCTTCTTTTGATTTTTCTCAGTTATTTTGTCACAATAATAATAAAAAAATAACTAGCACATTTTGTGCAACACATAGATAATTTATTTTCTGATTAAAACAAATTATTTTGTTTTTTTTTTTGCGAAAAACAGACAAAACAAAACAGAACACGGCTCTGCACAGACAACACATACACACACATATATATACTTGGTGTGCATTCTACTTCTGAGTTACCTTCTGAGCCTTTTAATTGTTTTAAATTGTTTTCTCTTGCATTCCTATATTAGAAAAATTTTCCGTAGAGGGGCCATTTGTCTTAGCACACAGAAGAGGATGATCCAGGCTGGATTGGTGGAGGGGGGAGCTCCTTTTTTTCTGAGGAGAAGGGGAAAAGGGATAGGGGTAAAAGGTAGGGAGGGTGGGGCTGGGAGGCAAGGAGGGAGGGAGCTATGATCTAGATGTAAAGTGAATAAATAAATAAATTAAGGTTAGTTCCATTTCAAATACTAAAGGAACAATACCCAGTAAGCATCTTTTCTCTGTTCTGGCTTTTTAGTAGAGATCTCAGGGTTACCTCCTAGATAGTACACTGGATTTAGGGTTTCAATAACTGTATCTTGTAATATAAGAAAAAAATCCTTATTTATTGACCAAGCTGATATATATATATGTGTGTGTGTGTGTGTGTGTGTGTGTGTGAACATATATAACATTGCATTTCATATCAGTCCACTGAGATTAATACAGACATATAATGTGTTTTAACCATATGCACCCCCCATTCTTTCCCTAAGACCACAGACCCATCCCTCTTCCCCATAATAGTTTTAAATGTGCTTTGGGTTTTTGTTTTATAATTCAAACATTTACTTGCATTTTGCCCCAGTATTCTGAAATGAGATTTGTCTGTGTTTTTATGATTGTGCTATCTTATTTGTTTTATATATCAATGCTATATATATACATATTTTTTTTTGTAATAACATTTTTGGAATTGTCTTCTGCACTTGTAAAAATGTAAGGAGCATTCTATTTTCTAGTCTTTGAATGTCTGGCTGGATGCTTTCATGAAACCATCTGTACATGTTAGCTTTTATTTTTTTAAGGCTAATTCTCTATTTCTGCTATTAAAATTGCTACCATTGCTTTGGTAAGTTCTTTGTTTTGCAAAGTTTTTGTTGGAGTTTGTGGTAGAAAAAAAATGATTCTCATGTTTATGTCCTTATCCTGTGAGCCTATGAATGTGCTAGACTACAGGACAAAGGAGATTTTGCAGATGTGATGATGGCTAAGAATGTTGAGTGAGTGGCATTATCCTAGACCATCTTATTCACATGACCAGAAAGATGGAGTGCAAGAACGCTTCAACATACTCCTGCAGTTGTTGACTTCAAAGATAGACATGGCCAAGACTCAAGACACACCAGTGGTTACGAGAGGATGGTATGGCTCTTCGTTGTTATTGTGGAAGAAGACAGAGACAGCAACAAAGAATTTATACACACACTGTACAATGAGCAAATTTCTCCTCCAGAAATTTCTGAGAGGAAAGCTGCCTATCGGTATCATGATATTTGGTTAGTGATATCCATGCTAGATTTCTAATGCATAGAACTATAAAATGATGAATTTTTGTTTTCTTAAGACACTTTATAGCAATGTTTTGAAGTATTTATTTTATTTTTACTATTTATTTACTTTATGTCCTGATTACAGCTTCCCCTTCCTCCTCCCCTCCCCGTCCCTTTCTCTCTCTTCACCCCTTCCACCATCTACCTCTTCTTCCCTTCTCAGAAAAGAAGAAGCCTTTCATGGATATCAATCAGCCTTGACATATCAAGTTGCAGTAAGGTTAGGCACCTCTTCTATTGAGGCCAGACAAAGCAACCTAGTTAGGTGAAAGGGATCCAAATACAGGCAACGTAGTCAGAGACAGCATTAGGAGTTCCACATAAAGATTCAGCTGCAGAGGGCCTAGGTCAGTCCCATGCATACTCTCTGGTTGGCAGTGCAGGCTCTATGAGCCCCTATGGGTTCAAGTTAGTTGATTCTGTAAGTTTTCTTGTGCTGTCCTTGACCCCTCTGGCTCAATTCTTCCTGTCCTTCCACAGGGTTCTTCACCCTCCACTTAATGTTTGACTCTGGGTCTCTGTATCAGTTTCCATCAGTTGCTGGGTGAAACCTCTCTGGTGACTGTTATGCTAGGTTCCTGTCTTCAGGTACAGCAGAATATCATTAATAATGTCAGAGGTGGGCTCTCTTTCATGGCATGGGCCTCAAGCTGAGCCAGTCATTGGTTGGCCCATCCCTCAATCTCTGCTCCATCTTTATTCCTGCACATCTTCAAAGCTTTTTGGCATCTGCACATTTTTCCATTTCGATGTTTGTGTTAATTCACATATACTGCCAGAAAAAGCATCTCTGATATAGACTTAGCAAGGCACTGTCCTATGTGTATAGCAGTGTGTCATTTTAGGGGTCATTTTATTGCTATATTCCTTTAGCAGAATAATGGTAGTAGGTTCCCCCTAGGTTCGTGGCCTATCTAGTCTCGGGTTCTTAGCCACTTTAGCAGTTTTAGGCATGGGTTTCATCTAATGGAGTGAAAAACTGATCAGGATATGGTTAGTTCCCCCCTCCCCCAGCACTGTTGCCACAATTGTACCAGTATGTCTGGAAGGCAGGTGGTGCCTAGCTCTGGTAGTGTGGAGAGTGCCTTCTAGTGACATGTGTGTTAGCCAGCAGGGGTGAAGCTTCCAGTTAAGTAACTAGGTCAACTCCTCTGTGTTTGATGGCACAATTAAGAGTTGTCTTCAGCAGTAAGGCCTCACAGTCTGCCTTTCCAGAGCATCAACAGCCTTGGCAATAGTCTGTGATGTCTAGAGTTTTATGTGGAACTTGTCTGGCCCAAGACTCAACAAGATGTAACCCATTCCTGGTATTAGGAGGTTTTACTTAGTGGCATACGGTGCCCCATAGAGATGTTATCTCTCCTATTATTTGGTGACCCCATTTAAATTTTCTTCATACATGTACATATTTTATGAAGCATGTAGAGTAACTGGTAAGTTTTTATATGTTTTTTTTTAAATGGCCCTAGGGTTAGTTGTCCCTCCCTATTCACACCTTTTGCACTTTTTTCCATCCCTCATTATTTACTCTTTGTAGTCTACCTTCTCCCATGTTTTTATTTATAATACTATATTCTGGTTTATCCTCCTTGGAAAGTCTTCCCCCTGGTCCTTTACAGAGTAGCTAAACTCTGTGATTATTCAGATTGTAGCATACATTTTAAGTGCTTAATGTATAAAAAAATTATAATATTTGTCTTTTTGGGTCTGGGTTATCTCACACAGAATTTTTTTTTCTAGCTACACACACTTACCTGCAAATTTCACAATTACATTTTGTAGTAATATTTTGAATAATATTCCATTGTGTAAATGCACTACATTTTCATTATTCAATAGACATCTGGGCTGTTTCCAGTCTCTGGCTATAATCAATACAGCAGCAACTGATGGGAATAAGCCCTGTGGGTATCTGCCCAAGAGTGGTACACTTGGATTTTGAGGTAGAGCTAATCTCAGTTTCTTGAGGAACCTCCACACAGATTGCCACAGTGGTGTATAAGCTTGTACTCTCACTCACAATGCATACATGTTCCCCTTTCCACGGGACTTCACCAGTCTCATCGCTTGTGAGG